CTACTACCTCTACTACCTCTACTACCTCTACTACCTCTACTACCTCTACTACTACTACTACGACGACTACTACTACCACTACCACTACCACTACCACTACCACTACCACTACTACTACTACTACTACTACAACTGCTACTACTTTTGCTACTGCTACTGTTGGTGCTACTACTACTACTGCTACTACTGCTGCTACTACGACTACTACTACTACTACTACTACTACTACTACTACTACTTTTCCCTACCACACCCTCAAGGTGCGCAAAAAACTGCACTTGTCACGCAGTCTGCAGTTCCACGTTCACACAGCATTGCGTTTGCCACGAAAGCTGCACTTCGCCCTTTCACAGAATGCTGCTACTGCTGCGAAATTTGCACTCCAAGGTGCGCAAAACGTTGCGCCTGCCGCAAAATTTGCATTTCGTGGTTCACAAAGGGCTGCACCTGCCACGAACTCTGCATTTCGATGGGTTCACCAAATGCTGTGCATGCCACCGTAAGTCGGATTAACTTTTTATTAATCCCAACTATATATATATATAATATACATATTGTTTTTGATCGCCCGAAACTCGAAAGTTTCTTTTTGCCTATCCATTTTTTGATCCCTCACCCAAACGGTATGTCTTTATTGTTTCAGGCACATCTTGCCATTTGCTGGGTTGAGCTCAATGCGCCTTCACCAACGTCGAAGTGACCCGCCATGGGCTGCGGCTCTTCTTCACGGGCGCAAGTACAGCAGGATCCAGATGCGGTGCGCCTGGCACATGTTGCCATACTCGTTGTTTTTTTGTTTCCCAACAGTGGCTGCAGCCAAAGTCCAACTCTTCATTTGTTAAGCGAACCTAAACTTGTGATGTTTTTTCGAGTCTTGTGAGACTTGCAAGCACCCGGAGGTGGTACCAAACGCGCCCTCCAGTGGAGATGAGAAAAATGCCTGGGCCATAGATTGATTGGTAGCTTCAAGGTTGGAGTGGTTGTTCTACAGTTTCTTCTTAGCCATTTGCTGGCAAACCTGCCTCCCAGAACCTCTGTATACACACTGAGACAGTCAATGCCTAGCCATTGTTTGATTTCAACTCTGGTTGGTACTCCATGAGTGTTGCACGTGCATTGAAATTGGACCGCCGAGGCAAACCTGCCAGAGTGCAGACTTCGAATTTTCCACATCAACGACGTTTATAGATTAGACAATTTGCCAGTGCTACGGAGCTGTATAGATGCTAGGAGTGAGGGTGTGAATGTGCTGACAACGCTGGCTGGGGACTTTGTAGCACCTTCACTCCTTTCCTCAATCGACCATGGACGGGGAATGGTCACCGCCCTGAACGCCATCCCTGTACAAGCAGTTTGCTTCGGCAACCACGAGTGCGATATTCCCTTCCGCAGCTTGGTGTCCCGCATCAAAGAGTTCAACGGTGTTTGGCTGAACTCGAACATGCCATCCATGTTGGAGGAATCTGAACTAGATGGACAACTTGCAGAACACCAGTTGCTGAAGCTGGATGGTGGCAGATCAGTGATTTTGACAGGCTTTTGCGTGGGCGGAGGTCGTTTCTCGTGGTTGTACAGGAAGAACGCCTTCAACGGTCATGCGGACCGGATTACGCCTGTGCTGGACGCAGTCGATGAGGTAGTCTCAAAGGCATACACTGCATATCCTGAAGCCGATTGTGTAATCCCGTTGACTCATCAGGACTTGCCAGAAGACATAGAAATGACCACACGTGGGCACGACTTCCCAGTAATCTTGGGTGGACATGACCACGATGTTGTTTGCGAAAAACATAATGGCACACACATTGTGAAAGCCGGTGAGGATGCACAGAATGTTGCTGTGATCGACCTCGTTTGGGAGCAAGGGGCTCCCAAAAACTCGCCTCCAAAGGTAACTGTGGAGCTCATCCCCTTGGAGCCTGGGCCGTCAGTAGAGAGCGTTGCTTACGAGGCAGATCCAACGATGCAAGAATCCATTGAGCTTTTGCAGAAGCCAGCGATCGAACTGCAGTTGGCCACCTTGGCTGCTATCCATTCACCTCTAGATGATCCTCTCAGCTCCGTTGGGGTGCGTTTCCATGAGTGTTCCATGGCGACCTTGCTCGCCAGCTCATTGCGAGAAGTAGGTGGAGCTGATGGCGCTTTGATGAATGCTGGTAGCATACGTGGAGAGAAGGTTTACCCTGATGGTAAGATCCGATTTGCTGACCTTGCTGCGGAGGTTCCCTTTCCATCTACTTTGATCGTGGCTCGCATTCCAGGCGCTGTTTTGACCAAGGCAGTCGCCCAAAGTAGAGCCCCCTGGCATGGAGCAGAAACTCCGCGAGCTGGAGCTCCAGCTGGATCTACCTCTCACGCTCTCCATTTTGATGATGGCATAAAGTCGGACCCAATATCGGAGGAGCTCATAGAAGTTGCTGGTAAGCCCTTCGAGCCAGACTCCATGTACGACATAGTCATTGACAGCTTCTTGATGCACAACGATGCTGTACTGAAAGAGTATAGCACAGCTCATCCTGAACATGTCCCATCTGAAGAAACTGGACGGCCGGCTCTTCCTATGTTAGTACAATACTTCTGTGACAAGGTTTGGTGCAGTCTTTGTGACATAGACGGCGATGGTGAAGTGCAGATCGAGGAGGTTGACGAGTTTTTCGACTTAGCGGACACTGACGGGAACGGAAAGCTTCTTCCATTTGCTTGTGCAGCGTTGAGTTTCGTTTTGTGACACAATAATGGAACCAATCGTTTAGCAGCCGGTTTGCTGGTCCCAAGCAAGGGCAAATCCCCTAAACAGATTCAGATCGGTTTTCTATTAAATGAAACCCAAACCTGAGCACGTGCCCACGTGCCCTTGCTCGAGGCTTGATGTGGACGAGCTTATGGTTGCAATGTCCCTCAAGCTGGGTGATTTGGATGTGACTAAAGTGTTAGCTCAGCAATGCGTGAGCCTGGCAGATGAGGATGGGGATGGTAAGGTGAGCAAGGAGGAGTTACAGAAGTTCATGAAAGCAGAGGCAGCAGCGCGAACAAATCGAACGATTTGAAGCAATGCTACCAGGGTTGGGCAAGCTGTGTTAAGGATGGGTTCATACACTTGCTTCAATTGAGAAACACGTTGAAGGGGCCCAACCCTGCTTTGCAACGACACCAATTTTCATAGGCTTTAGCCTCCGACTAGCCTGATGATGCCCAAGGAGGTTGGATCTTCAAAATGTTTTTTCGCATTCCAATTGATTTGATGATTCGCTGCAAGACTCAGGATCCTACCTCAGGAGCATTGCTTTCATGCACAAAGCCCAAGGCTTTCCAGATTTTGTATTTTTTGAAGGTATTTAGGGCTCCAAATATTGGAGATCTTAAAATATCCTTCGAATAAAAATATCATGATACGAAAAATATAGATTCTATGTAGAATATTGTAAAAATAGACATTTGGAGCCCGGCCAAAAGTCTATAATTAAAAAAAAGATAAAGGGGTCCAAAGTAGCTTATGGTGTTGTTTGTTTAATTAGATTATAATAGATGTAGTGGGTCCCTAGCTAAATACATCTATTTTGTAGCTGGGCGTTAGGTAGTTTGGGCGTTAGGTTTGCCGTAGATTTGCGTTAATTGTTGATTTAGAATATATTTAGAAGGTCGTTAGGGGAAAACATTGTTTAAAAATGCGTTAATCGCGCGTTAGTATTACGTTAAATTCGTATTAATACATATTATTAGATGCTAGTATAGATTCTTTAAAAATCTATATTTAATAGATTTATTTAAAAGCAATAAATTTATTGTTTTAAATATAATGATATAATCGGATATGAATCGAACAAATGTTTTATCGGCATTCGCTTTAAAAATTCTTATTTTTGTTATTATAATATAGATATTTATTTTTATTTTATAGGATATTTATGCGATATATATATATATTGAATATTTATATTTATTTAAAGATAATATTTTATAAATTTGAAATTATTAGGATTAAAGATATATTTTTTGAGTTGTAACCGGATGTTTGTACCTTTAATCCTGTATATTCATTATATGTTATGAATGAATATATATTACCGATGCCACCGGTGCTTTAGGCCTCTTTGGTTTGGGTTGAATATCATCGATAATTTATCTAGGCAGGGATATTTAAGACTATTTTTAACAACAAGATTAGATATTATGTTTTGCAGAATACGTCTTTTAACCGTTACGATCGAAAATCGTATTGTCTGTAGACATTGAAAACATCAATTTCTTACCCTATATGTCCTTCGAACCCACATTAATAAAGAGGGCACTGTCCAGCTCATCGTGGCCAGGGAGGAACTCAGAATGCACATCCGACACAGATCCTTCATGGGCCTTATGCTGGACGGAGCTTTGTGTTCGGAACTAGCCACTAGATGTGCCTTCTGCAACCTGGTAATCCATGCACGAGCCATGACCCGCCACTACACAGATTCGCATCCTGAGTTGGTTGGACCTGCACGACAACAATACGATTTCGTGAGTGGCCTCTCCAATTTAACCTCAGGAAAAGGCCAATGCCCAATGTGTCAATGCAAGAGTCTAGATGTGCAGAAACATATCCGGTCATGTATTAGCCATGTCCGGTCATGTCATGAGCCCTGAATATTTCCCGATCATGCCACCTTGGAAAAGACCTTGGATATCGGCAACAAGTCTAGGCCATGTGACACCATCCACAGAGCCGAATCCTGAGCCGGTAGAGAAAAGAGCCAGGACTAAAGATTCAGCAATCGTTCCCCGGGAACCCACTGATCCAACCAATGATGTTCGCTTGAGCACGGCACTCCATAAGTGCCTCACATGTTATGCCTGTTTTCTGAGTTCGAACGGCCTGTAAACACATCAACAGACCGCCCATGACACCCTCCCTGCCGTGGACCCTCCCCCACCTACCAAGCGGGGACGTCCAACCGGTGATGATATAGTGGCTCATAGACTTCGAGCCAAGACCACCGAAATTCCTGTTCCGGTGCAAGAATTTGAATGCCCGTTGTATTTTGAGCGCATGGACCGTAAAGCAGTTGCAGGCCACCTGCGAACCGTTCATCAAATTGACAAGCCCGTTTCCTTTTCGACCCAGCACTGACATGTTTCCAGGCCGTTTGAGCTGCATGCATTGTAAAACCAGCTTCACCATGGCCTTTGCACTCAAGAATCATTTTGATAGAGACACCTGTCCAGTCCTTCTACTCAACTGGGTTCGTGATGCTTAATAAATATGGCCCGCAGATTCTTGTTGACATTCCACCAAGCCTTGAGAAGGATGCACCGCCTCCACCAACTAAGGGCCACTACAAGACCTGGACCTGTGGTCTCCTTCTCGGTACTGATACGCATCCAATCACAGCCCTGCGGCATGTTGTGCATGTGACACTTGATCAATGCATCCACTTTCGTCCGGAACGACGCCTTTTATGGTATACCTTCGTCATGAGATGGACCATATATTTCTCTGACCTGCCTCAGGTTGCTCTGAATATGGGCACTGCGCCCTACATCGTTCGCTGGATCGTGGAGCCGCTCCCAATTTACTGGGCCTGGTCCTCAGACAACATAGACTCATGGTGGGATCCTAGCATGATTGATTTGGATTCCGACCCACTTGATCAAGTCAGCTGGTTTTGCACTGCTATCCTTGACTTCGAGCACGCCCTGGCAAGAGATTTTGTCCTGACACCAGCCGGATTCGACCATGGCAGACAATATGTCACCGGACGATATGTCCTTTGCCGACCTCTTGGACACCTGTCAGGCCCACCTCAAACGACCACGAACAGAGGTGGAATCATCGCAGGGCAAAGCAATTGGGAAAGGCAGATCGAAAAACCGATCAGATTCCTCAACCACCTTTTCGAGGTACGAAGGGTATTCAGAGCTCTTGATGATGCTGGCGAAGTTGAGCTTACGGCAGGAAGATATCCTCAATCAAATGGCCTTGGACCTCAATTTCCTTCTGTTTTTACAGGCCGGGAAGGGATCGATACTTCCGGCGATGATCTTGGCATCCAAGGAGTGGCACCAGCAGACACAGAGCACAGGAATCACATGCTCATTCCGCCAGGTTAACTTCTTGAAAGTGATAGAGGAGTTGATTCAAAGGCTGGCCAAGCTGAAGTTCGACAACCAGGACGACGCCCTGGTGCACGCACTCCGGCAGAAAAGCATTCTGACACCCGAGAATGCCTGGAACTACCTCACATGGGACTCAGCAGCCAAGTGCCTTCGTCCAACGAAGCAGTAGCCACTGACGCAGGACAGAATCCAGGAGATCACCATTCAGCTCTCCCAACTACCCAATCAAGGCGATTTGACCCAACAATTTTCCGCTCTCAAACCAATGAGCCGAGATCAGATTCCAGAAGATTCACAGGTGACGATCCCATGGCGCCTCGATCTCAGCCTACGCAGCGCCGCATCGACTCAGCTCTTCGAGATCCTCAACCTCTTGAGCAGAAACGGGATCTGTCAGTTGATCCTTCTTCGACTGAGACCCACAGGCCTACAAAGATCCCCACTTGCTGCAGCAATCGCCCACCGTTTGCGATGTTGATGCACCAATTTCTCAGAATTAAGCTGCGCAATTCGTCCAATGCCTGTTATATAAATCACGAAAGCTAGCGAAGCTAGCTGGAGTTACTCTTGCGATAGCAAGGTTTCTTTCGACCGGGTGCAAATCCTAACCCCTGATTATTCAGGTCGAAGACCCCCCCCCCCCCCCCCCCCCCCCCCCTCTCCCCCCCTCCCCTCTCCCCACCTCCCCTCTCCCCACCTCCCCCCCTCTCCTCCTCCTTGTCTTCCTCCCATCTTCCCTCCCTCCCTCCTCCCTCTTCGCAAGTTCGACTCCGTCCTGTCGTCGCTCTTTGGCATGCGGTTAGCGTTGCGTATCTTGCGGCCGCACTCGCTCACTCTCACTCTCACTCTCTCACTGTCTCACTGTCTCACTGTCTCTCTCATCTCTCTCATCTCTCTCATCTCTTTCTCATCTCTCTCATCTCTCTCTCCTCTCTCTCTCTCTCTCCTCTCTGTCTCTCGTCTTTCCGTCTCTCTTCTCTCTCTTCTCTCGCAGGAGGATCCGGGCAAAGAGCCACATATAAAGGGTTCTTCACCCCTGCCTCCAAAAAGAGCGCCGTGTTTTTTCCTACCTCGCTGCCCTCCACTTTCCCATTCTGGAGCGCTAGCTTTCGCCCCCCCCCTTGGCCTCAAGTGCAGCATTGTTGGGGCAACTCTGGGCCACCTTGGCCTATGAAGGGTTTGATCCAGAGCTTTGGGATCAGTGGAGGCTATCTCTACTTGAGCTGCTCGATACGTCAGGTGATACGGATCTTTGCACTTCGGAGCCTTTCCGGACGCTGCTGACTCCCTGATTCAGAGAACATGAGGCTGATGCACAACAGGACGCAGCCGAATTCCTGGGTTGGCTACGAATTCAGCAACTCGGTGACCATTCCTGGGGGCAGGAATACAGGGGATGGCAAGCCAGACTTGCCAATAGCATCGAGGATCGTGGAGCTTTGTTAGCTCCCTTGCTACTTCGAGTGCCGGCAGAAAAGAGAAGCGACCTGCAAATTTGATCAACATGTGGCATGGTCAGCATGGTCAGGATCCATACACGAATGCCTGCATTCATACCCATCCATGCATAGTGTTGCAACTCGAATGATTCCCTGCCATTGCAACGAAACAAGACACACCAGTGGACTTCTCCCGATCTGAGGTCACCCGATCTTCAACAATAGTATTGGCCGGGATGTCTTTTGGACGCAATACAGAGTGGTGGCCCTCCTGTGCCGAGAGCGGCCATTACCAATGCCTGTTTCTTCGCTCGGGTAATTCCTGGATGACAGATGATGGCAGATCAGCAGTCAGGTGCCCGGTCGTTGATCCGATCCGCCGAGCCGCCTGTTTGTTTTGGTTGGTGCCGCAAGATGACCTCAGCCATTGGTGGCGGAGACCCATTGAAGAGCAGATTGCGGACCTGTCCGACTTGCTGGCTACGACCTTTTCCAACTAGGCCATTCTTGCCTCCTTTTGATGCCTTCGATTACAGACGAAAACGATTGCGATTGTGATTGTAATTGATGCTTTCCGAAGCACCCGCAGCTTAGCTGTGCTGCCCAACACGGGCCTGGATTCGCTCAGGCTGGAAGTGAATGAATGAAATCCTTTTTTGCTAAATTTGATGTTGATATTTGGTTAATATTATAGATAATTGATATTTGTTTTTATAAATGAATTTTATGTAATACATATCTTTATTTAATATTATTGGACATATTTTATGATTTTGGATATATGGATATAGGTTATTTAGGCATATATTTATTTATTTTATTTTTTTAAAGCTCTTTTACAATATAG